GCTCTCCGTGTGGAATGTGTGACTTGGAAGAGCTTCTTGTTCATGTCGAGCTCAATGTCCCCAGAAGTAAAATGGGGCTGACAGTCAGTGTGAGGGCCGAACTGTGTCCTTCGCCTAAATTCATACAGTGAAGTCCCAGCCCCGCGTCGCAGAGCTGCCTGTGTGTGCAGAGCGGCCTTTCAAGGGATGATTAATGATAGACATTTCTCCCAGGAGGACATACAGACGCCAGCAGACATGACAAGATGCTGAACCTCACTAATTTCAGAGAGATGCACACTAAAACCACAGTGAGGTGCCCTCGCTCCTGCCAGAATGGCTGCCATCGACAGACCAACAAACACAAGTGCTGGTGAGGGTGTTGGAGGAAGGAGCCCTGGGCACTGCTGGTGGGAGTGCAGCCTGGGGCAGCCCCTGTGAGAACAGTGTGGAGCTTCCATATGAGCAGGCAATTCCAAGTCTGGTTACTTATCCAAAGAAAACAAAAACGCTAATTTGAAAAGATATTTGCACACCTATGTTCACTGCAACATTATATACAATAGCCAAGAGATGGAAGCGACCGAGTGTTCACAGACTGGATAAGTAAGATGTGGTATATACTAGTGTGTACAATGGAATATTACTCAGCCACAGAAAGGATGAAGTCACGGCACTGTGACAAATGCATTGTCCTAGAAAGTGCGATGCTAAGTAAAATAGGTCATTTATATGTGGACTCTACAAAAAGCAAACCAAGTAAGTAAACAAAACAAAACAGAAACAGACCCTGGGGATTGAGAGCAAGCTGATGGCTGCCAAGGGGGAAGTGGGTGATGGTAAACTGAACTGGTTAATTTAGAGAATAGGAGAGCTTGCCGTGAATAACCACGGGCTTGGACAGGGACTGCTTGCTGAGGAGCATGCGTGTGTCCTCCCAGTCGCTGTAAAAGAGGTCACTCCGGGGAAAGAAACGCTAGGAGAATAAGGAGGTGATAACGGTGAAGCGAGGCCATCTGGGCTGGCCTAACCAGTCTGACTGACGTTCTAAGAAGAGGAGATTAGGACACAGAGAAGCACAGGGGGGCGCACAGGGGAGGACACGGGGGGAGCACAGCCCTGAGACAGGCTCAGGAGGAATCAGCTGCTTGATCTTTGGCTTAAGGCGCCTGGCGCTGTGAGAGGCTGTCTCTGTTGTAGAAGTCACCAAGTCTGTGGCACTTAGTTGTGGCGGCCTTAGCATATTAAAGCAATATGTATCCAATAGATTTCAGGACTAATTAAGATACTACATATAGCCCAACCGGTGTGGCTCAGTGGCTGAGGGTCGACCTCTGAACCAGAAGGTCATGATTCAGTTCCTCATCAGGGCACATGCCTGGGTTGCTGGCTCGATCCCCAGTAGGAGGCGTGCATGAGGCAGCCAATCAATGATTATCTCTCATCATTGATGTTTCTATCTCTCTCTTCCTCTCCCTTCCTCTCTGAAATAATTAAAATATGTAATATATGAAATCAATCAACACATACATTGAGTAGAAAGATTCTTATGATCTCTGAACCCATAATAATCTGGCCACTCAGTGTATATCCTATACAATAAAAGGCTAATATGCAAATTGTCCCCTCAAACAGGAGTCTGACCAGCAGGCAGGCCTGCCAACCGCCCATGTCCCCTCACCCTGCCAGGCTGGCCAGACCCCACCCACGCATGAATTCATTCACCGGGCCTCTACCACACACACACACACACACACACACACACACGCACGCACACACACACATATAAAAAATTTTAAGACACAATGTATAAATGCTCAATGTGTTTCTGGCACAGGCTAGTGAAAGATTTTCAAGTCTCCTCTTCAGGCCTTCCCAGGGCCATGAATTACCGAGATTCAAGTTCTGATTTAGCTACTTACTGGCCGAGTAACTGTGGGTTGCAAATTTCATTTCTCTAAATATCAATTTCCTTTTGCAAATGGAGGCAGTAGCAGAGCCGCCTCACAGAGTTGCCGGGGATTGGATGGGCATTGTTGTGTCATCGTTATGGGGCAAGGAAGCACTGACTGCCCCTTCCGCTGAGCTAGTCTAATGTCCATTCATTCCCGAAGAGGACGGGGTGGGAAAGGGGTGCAGAGACAGTTTTGCACTGGACTCCCCTTCATTCTTCTCTGAGCCACAGTCTCGCCACCTTTAGTTCCAGAACCATAGTACTATTTCTGTAGGCTGTTTGCAGAAATATATCCATACTTGGTGTTTGCACAGCAGTGGGAGGGCACCAGGTCCCACGTTTGCCAGCTGTTAACCTTTGCATTTAGATGCCAGCGCTGAGGACACACAGGAGAGCCAAGTTCCAGTGGCTCCCAGGGGTGGGGCTCTCCTATCCATAGCCAGCACAGGCCTTGACCTTGATGGTGAGCTGAGCAGTGTTTGTCCCCTGGAGCAGCAGTCGCCGGCTGGTGGTCTGCAGACCACAGTGGTCCATGAGGTTCGCAAGGTTGGCGACTGCCGCTCTGGAAGGACACTGATACTTTCCCCGTGTGGGAACAGGCCCTCTGTCTCTCTCACCAGGTCTATCCCTCTGATTCTTAAGTGGACATAGCGGCATGGGTGGCCAGGGGCACCGTACTGTAGAGCAGAACTCAGAAATGCATGATGGGAATTTGCAAGATGGGAATTTGAGTGTGGAAGTTGGGTACCCATTGAGCGTCTACCCCTTCCCCGCCCTATCCCCACCCAGCCCCCGGCAGCCACTATTCTGTTCTCTGCCTCCAGGTTGTTATTTTAGATTTCTCTATCAGTGGCATCCTACAGAATTTGTCCTCCTGTGACGGGCTTACTACACCCAGAGTGACATCCTCCGGGGCCCAACATGTCATCCTCTCACAGGAAGTCCTGCCCTTTCTCTCCTAATGGCTTCCCAAGTCAAGTACCGCCGTGGGAATCCGGTGCCAGGATGTCCCTGGGAAAGGCCTGAGTGGCCAGCTGCCTGCCCCTGGCCAAGCCTTCTCCCACGCTCCCACCCATGGCTCCTGAGGGCAGAGCTGGAGAATGAGGTGTGGGGCTCACTTTGGGTGCTGGCCAGGCAGGTGCCCAAGCAGCCCGATGATCTGGTGCCAGCAGGAGACGCCTATGAAGTATCAGTAGAATCTTACAAACGTGTGCAAACTCTGCATTCTACCCACGTTCATTTTATAGCTTTACCGAGTAGACCAGAGTTACCCAAAGTGTGTGTGGTCCCCGCAGCACGCACCTGCGCGCCTGGGGCACCAGCTGGGTGGGTGGCCGCAGTGGGTTAGCAGAGGGCCCCTGGGGGGGTTAGCCGGTGGGTTAAGGTCTGATCCCCTCATTGGAGAGGAAACTGGAGGCAGGCTGGTTCTGTGACACTCACAGGGACTGAACTGGGGAAGGATGTTTTGCATGAGGGACTGGTCTCACCTGTCACCAAGGTCCTCCTGGGCCACTGCAGTGCAGGTGTGAGGGGCAGTGCCAGGCCCCCGTCCGTGTCACTGCTGCTGGGGCTGGTGGTAGGATGGCCTGAGCGCCTCACCAGCCTGGCTTTGCACTGGGAACCTGTAACTGGGGAGGACTCCCCTGAGGACTCCCCTCACCAGCGCTGCTCCCCACACTGGGAGCAGAGCCCCAGAGATGGACCAGAGGAGGCCTCACCGCTGGGGCCCAGCCCACTCCCACTCTGCCCCAGGGGTTAGGGGAGCTCAGCCCAGAGCACAGCCCTGGTGGGGGTTTTGCATTGGGGGTGGGGTTCCTTCTCTGGACTCTCAGCCAAACCGGCATCTGCCCACTGTGCCAGGGAACGACTTGGACCAGAATGCAGTGCAGGCCCGGCAGGGTGGCCAGGCCTCGGTGCCGCTCTGGGGACTCACCTGGCAGCCTTGGAGGCCGTGCGCCCTGGATCCTGCCAGGGTGTCCTGGAAAATGGAGGGCCCCAGAGGCATTGGGAAGCTGCGTGAGAGGAGGCTGCCTGTGGGCACCTTGCAAAGGAAACCGATCCCCTTTGCCTGTCCCTGGAGGAGCTGCGGGGAGCCTCACAGAGAAGCGAGGGGACACGCTGGGCGGAGCACATGCTCCCTGAGACCATCTGTGTGAGCCCTGTGCCTGGTCTGCTTTCTTGCCAGCAGTGCTCCCCGGCGCCCCTGGTGGAGGGGAGGAGCAAAGCATGGAGAGCTGGAGAAGCATAAAGGAAGTGCTCCCACCTGCAAACCATTGGCCAGCTGAGCTCTCTGGGGCCCCCACAGAGCTTTCTCCTGGGGTGGCACCTGGGTCCTGAGGGCAGGGCAGACAGCTGGGGCCAAGGCAGGGGGAGGGCGGAGCGGGGCCAAGCAGGCACCTGACCACCATCTCCCGCTGTGCCCTGCTGGCTAGCCCCTGACCAGACTCCTCAGGCGGCGCTGGAGGCTCTTACCTTTAACCAGACACCCTTGAGGGCCTGGTGGGTTTTCAAAGACAAACCGAGAGTCTTTGAGTTAAAAGATGAACTGAGTTCTCTGAAATTTAAGGAAAATAAAGGCCAAGATTTCCACCACTAGCTTTCTGCACGACCCACCGGGCACACAGCAAAGATGCCATTCTCTGGTGCCCACAGACCTCCCACTCCTTAGCGCCCCGCCGCGTGCGACCTGCCGGCACCTCAGGGTGCCTGGGGGGCGCAGGTTCCTCACCTGGGCGGGTGGAAAGGGCAGGGATTAGCTCCCACCCGCCTGGTCTCTCCGCCTTTCCAAGGGCCTCCTCCCTGTAATAATCCCATAGCACCAAGCCCCTGGCATCCCCTCTCCAGCCTCCTCTCCCATGGCGCTTCCCTCCGCCTCCACTCTCCCAACTCTCCGCCCACCCATCTCCCGCATCCCGGGCACCCCCTCCTCCCTCGATCCCCTCCTCCCTTCCCCCTCCCCCCTCCAGCCTCCTTTCCCAGGGCGCCCCCTCCCCATCGGAGCTGCAGCGGAGCATGCGCGGTGCGCGGAGGCAGCGGGCGGGCGCTGCGCGCACTCGGCCCCCTCCCTGCACCGCGCCGCCAGCGGCCGGTTGCTAAGCAGTGACATTGTTTCTGGGGCGATCGCGGAGGCTGTGGCTAACCGGAGAAGCCCCGCTAAGCCTGGGCATCTTCCCTCTCCGGACCCGTTCCCGGTTCCCGGCTTTGAAAGGGGAAGCGAGGCTGGCCTGCCCGCCCTTCCTCCCCCACCCGCGCCAGAACAGCCCTGTGCTTTCGGGGCATGGACTGAGCACCAGTCCCCTCGCCAGCTGCACCCGGGGCTCCACACTCCTAGTCGGACCGCACCTGCCGAGCCGGTGAGCGCCCGGACGCGCGGTCATGACCACGGCCAAGGAGCCCGCGAAATCCGTGCAGCAGCAGGAGCAGGTAACCGGGCCGCTGCGCGTCTGTACCCGCACAGGGATGGGTCTGTGTCTGGGCGCCTGCATCACCTGGGCCAGGCGGCAGGTGGGGTGAAGCGCTGAGTGAGTGCCGGTCCGCCTTCCCCGCTTCTGCTTTCAAACATCCCCTGGCGTGCCCATCCCGGGAGTGGGGGGAGGCTGACGTGCCCATCCGCGGGCCCTGGCGTGCCCATCCCGCGGGGCCGGACTATGGGCTGAAGGAGGGGAAGAGGGACTTGGGCAGGGTTGTCTCGTGAAGCGGGGCCCGCGGTGAAGGTCTCCGGTGCGGGGGTGGTTGGGGGAGGTGGGCAGCCCCCTCCCCCCAGGTCAGCTTATTCCCATCGTCCAGCGGGACTTTGCTTTGCTTCTAATATCAGCTAGCGAAGACATGGTTAAAGGACTTTCCTCGGATAGCTGTGTCCTTTCCTCCTTTCTCCTTAAGAATTTCTGACAGAATTCACGCCCGGCTGCCGCTGCCCTGGGCTTTGGGGTGGGAAGGCTGATGGGTGCAGAGCAGGGCCAAGTGGGAGCTGGTAGCAGGGCTAAGGGGCCTTGGGGGCGGCCAGGATGGCACGGGGTCCTGGATGGCTGAGGGCAGCCAGCGCTCGCCCTGCCCCAGAGCCCGCTGCGGGCTCAGGAGCCAGGGAACCAGCGCCTGGTTTGCCACTCAGGCTCCTGTGATTCCCTCTCAGAGGACCTGGAGGATACTAATCCTCAGTCACTGCTTCTCCTGGGCCAAACCTGGGAGCCCCCCAGACCCGGGAGCCCCCCCAGACCTGGGAGCCCCCCAGACCCAGGAGCCCCCCAGAACCAGGAGCCCCCCAGACCCAGAAGCCCCCCAGACCAGGGAGCCCCCCAGACCCAGGAGCCCCCCAGAACCGGGAGCCCCCCAGACCAGGGAGCCTCCCAGACCAGGGAGCCCCCCCCAGACCCGGGAGCCCCCCAGACCAGGGAGCCCCCCAGACCCTTGGAGCTCCTGCAGACCCAGGAGTCCCCCAGACCAGGGAGCCCCCCAGACCAGGGAGCCCCCACCAGACCCCGGGAAGCCCCCCCAGGCCCCCGGAGCTCTCCCAGACCCAGGAGCCCCCCAGACCAGGGAGCTCCCCCAAGACCAGGGAGTCCCCCCAGACCAGGGAGCCCACCCCCCAGACCTGGGAGCCCCCCCAGACCCGGGAGCCCCCCAGACCAGGGAGCCCCCCCAGGCCAGGGAGCCCCCCAGACCAGGGAGCCCCCCCAGGCCAGGGAGCCCCCCAGACCAGGGAGCCCACCCCCCAGACCTGGGAGTCCCCCCAGACCAGGGAGCTCCCCCAGACCAGGGAGCCCCCCCAGACCAGGGAGCCCCCCCAGACCAGGGAGCTCCCCCAGACCAGGGAGCCCCCCCAAACCCCAGGAAGCCCCCCCTAGACCCCCGGAGCTCTCCCAGACCCAGGAGCCCCCCAGACCCGGGAGCTCCCCCAAGACCAGGGAGTCCCCCCAGACCAGGGAGCCCACGCCCCAGACCTGGGAGCTCCCCCAGACCAGGGAGCCCCCCAGACCAGGGAGCCCCCCCAGGCCAGGGAGCCCCCCAGACCCCGGGAGCCCGCAGATTCAAAGGGCAGTTTCTCGGGTTCCAAAGTCAGTGGTGTGGGCTGGTGTCCCGTTTACGTCAGGGCTGGGCTCGCTGGGCTCGCTGGGCTCCCTGGGCTGGAGCCAGGACGGAGCCCCCTCTGGAGCTCGGGGGAGGCAGGAGCCTTTGGGGACGCGGAGTGACAGTCCCATCTCGGTATTCAGAGCCCAAGCTTCCTGCCAGCTGCCCAGCTTCTTGGTGGTTTTGTTTTTGTTTTTTGTCATTTTCTCAAACCCATTTTCGATTTAAAAACAAACTTATTACTTATGACTCTCACCAGCACCACATGAGCTAAAGAAGCCAAACAGTTTGATTCTCTGGGAAGAGCTTGGTGCAGCCAGGGCTCTGGTGTTTGGTGCCTGTGGCCGTGCAGGTGGGGGCCACGCTCAGTGTAGCTGCAGACCAGAGGCTCCCTGGGCATTCAAGCGCCTAGAAGAACACTCCACTGAGCATCCTATATAATAACAGCCCAGAGACCCAATGGCAGGATGACCAGAACAACCAGTCGACCAGTCGCTATGATATGCACTGACCACCAGGGGGCACATGCTCAATGCAAAAGCTGCCCTGGTGGTCAGTGCACTCCCACAGGAGGAGTGCTGCTCAGCCAGAAGCCGGGCTCAGCCAGAAGCTAGAGAGTGCAGCGATGGCGGGCGCCCCTCTGACCTCCAAGGCAGGCAGACATCCCCCCAGGGCTCCCAGACTGCAAGAGGCGCAGGCCAGACTGAGGGGCCCCTGAGTGCACGCATGATGCACCGGGCCTCTGGTTTACTCAGTAAAGGAATGTGCCTGCCCTCAGCTGGCACCCGGGCCTGAGGGCCTCCCTCCCTGGCGGTGACAGCACCTGCCCTGGGCTTGCGGGACCAGCAAGGACTCAGTGGCAGTTCTGATCCTGCGTCACAGGCTCATCAGGGAGAGGAGACGTGGCCCCATAGGTCCCCGCCCGAGGGCGCCCTCCAGGCCCAGCTGTGTCGCGATCTGTGCGACAGGAGGAAGGTTGGCGGCTGCACAGTGAGGCTCAGCTGGCTGCACCCTCGTGAGAGTGGAGGGGGGGGGGATGCATAAGCTCATGCCTGACTCCATACCTTTGAGGCATTGGAAACCCCACGTGTACCCGCTTCCCTCATGGGGCTCAGCGGATGTAACAGTGCCGGGGAGGGGGGAGTCTGGGGCCTCTGGGAAGCCGTCCCTCCGTTCACAGTGGCTCTTCTTGACCTGAGACATGCTCAAAGCCCGCCTGTGAGGGAGCGTAGAGGGTCCACGGCAGGTGCAGGAAGATCCCCCTCAGACACTGAGCCGCAGGGGCTGCCGTGAGTTTCCCACCAGCTCAGAAAACGCAGGCTGAGCTGCGGGCTTGGGCCGTGAGGATGGCTCCACTGCGCGTTCCCCGTGTTTACAGGCACCAAAACTGCCTGCTCCCGTCAGACGCAGAGCCCTGGACGCGTCACCCCATCTTCACGTGGCTTCTCCTGCTGCTGGGGTAGCCGCCCCCAGCCGGGGATTTGCGGGAGACCAGACCAGACCAGACATGTTCCACTTCCTTTCTTTGTTTTTTCTTTAAGGAGAGAGAAAGATTTGCTGGTTTGCAGTTTTTATTTCATTTCTTTCTTTATTTTTAATCCTCACCTGAGGCTACTTTTTCCATTGATTTTAGAGTGGAAGGGGAGGAAGGGGGAGAGAGAGAGGGAGGGAGAGAGAAAGACATTGATGTGAGAGGGACACGTTGACTGGTTGCCTCCCACATACACCCGGACTGGGGATCGAACCCACCACCCTGCTATGTGTGCCCTTGACTGGGAATCAAACCCAGACCCTTTGGTACAAAGACCAGCCCTAAGCACGAGCCTCCGGCCGGGACCAAGCCTTATGTCGTAACAGAAACTGCTGGAGCACCGCGTTCTCTGTCCGAGGCCGTGCTCTGAGGGCTGGCCGTGGGGAGCCTGGTTCTGTAACGGGTGCGGCTCTCCCATGGCCCCATGTCGTGCTCATGGCTGACAGAGGCGGGGGGCGGGGAGCCAGGCTGGGGTGGCGGGAAGGACCTGTGCACGGGGACTGTGCCCGCCATGCAGGAGCCTGGGAGAGGTAAAACCCCACGCTCTCACCTGTTGCTTAGGTGTTGCTGTTTTTCCAGTTTGTTTGCTAAAATACGTACTAAAAATAGATGCTTTGCGGGAAGAGGTTTTAAAGGATGCTGAGCGAACACCTTGGCACAGGCCAGGGAGAACAGACTTTAGGAGCTGCTGCCGTTGGCTCCGGCCATGCTAACGTGGGTTTTCAAACACAGTGAGTGTTAGCAGCCCGCAGTGCTGGGCCCCCTTTCAGCTGGGAGACCGAGTTCCTCCCCAGCTCTGAGCCCTCAGGTGGCAGGTCCGGCCCTGACAGCCATCGCCTGGGCCCACGGCTTCCCGTCCTCCTGCCCTCAGGTGGCCCCCGCGGCGATGCGGAAGCAGCGGAGGCCAGTTTGATTTAAGCTCCGAGTATTCTCAAACACAATCGGAACCCCTCCTTAGAGAACCGTCCGGGGCTCAGGAATCACAGATGAGTGAGAAAGCGCCTTTCCCAAAAAGGTCTGCAAAAGCCTCGCCTGCTGGAGAGCGTCCGTCCGTGTTCTGTGGGCTCTGCCATGCTCAGGCGCCCCCGTAACTTCTTTCCACCTGAAAACCAGCCGGCGGGGCTCGTGCGCGCGGGTCATGCTTTGTGGCTTCGTTTCCTCGAGCTGCGCCCTCCTCCCAGGGAGCCTGGGGTCCAATCGGCACCAGAGTGCGGCCAGGCCGTGCTGGGGGGCGGGGAGCCTGGGGTCCGTTCGGCACCAGAGTGCGGCCAGGCCTGTGCTGTGGGGGGAGCCTGGGGTCCGTTCTGCACCAGAGTGCGGCCAGGCCTTGCTGGGGGGGGGAGCCTGGGGTCCATTCGGCACCAGAGTGCGGCCGGGCCGTGCTGGGGGGGGGGGGGGGGAGCCTGGGGTCCATTCGGCACCAGAGTGCGGCCGGGCCGTGCTGTGGGGGAGAGGGAGCCTGGGGTCCGTTCTGCACCAGAGTGCGGCCAGGCCGTGCTGGGGGGGGAGCCTGGGGTCCATTCGGCACCAGAGTGCGGCCGGGCCATTCTGGGGGGGGAGCCTGGGGTCCGTTCGGCACCAGAGTGCGGCCGGGCCGTGCTGGGGGGGAGCCTGGGGTCCGTTCGGCACCAGAGTGCGCCGGGCCGTGCTGGGGGGGGAGCCTGGGGTCCATTCGGCACCAGAGTGCGGCCGGGCCATGCTGGGGGGGGGGGGAGCCTGGGGTCCGTTCGGCACCAGAGTGCGGCCGGGCTGTGCTGGGGGGGAGCCTGGGGTCCGTTCGGCACCAGAGTGCGGCCGGGCCGTGCTGGGGGGGGGGGGGGGGGGTGCT